TAAGTGTGCCAGTCCTTAGCAACCTATACACTGTTGTATGACTTAAGTGCAGTGCCTCAGCTAACCCTCTAATTGTGGTTCTTTTTTCAATTGGTATTGCTGCTAAAACAGCGTGATCAAAGTCTAATTTCTTCCTTCCCCTTTGTCTTTTTCTGCTGCACACATCAATCACTCTATTTCCCCTAAATTGGCCCTTAGCTTTTGCCCAAATTCTACCAATAGTTGTCCTATGTACATTATATTTGTATGCTAATTTTTTAATTGAACCCCTTGGTACTGATCCCCCCCCCCCCCGGGCAGTACCTTTTTCCTTCTTGTGCTAGAATTAGTTCTTGAACAATATGTTGTCTTTGTTTGTCACTTAATTCAAATGTTTTTTTTCCATTTTTCTCTACTATGACATTATCATGTTCTAATTCGATAACTACAGTTGCTGGATTACCATAATTTTCTAATTCTATATTAGTATCAGATTCAGATTCAGAAGAAAACAGTACCTCGTAATCTTCATGAAACCGTTATGACTGTTACAAATTGTAAAGCTGTTATACGTCCTCAAACCCCTCAGAATCTATTCCCCAATGTGCTGTGTGTGCTGTGATGACAGAAGAAACGATGTTAAGTGTTGTAGATGGACTGAGTTACTCACTCCTTTTATAGTGAAGTTTAAGTTGTAGGGGTTAGTGTTCTGAATTTCAGAATCTGGAATTTTGGCGGGTGATTTTGAATTTTCAGAATTTTGGTGTTTGGTGGTTTTTTAAATTTTCAGTTTAGAAAATTTTGGTGGGTAATCTAACACTGAAATGTGGTGGGTAAAGTAAAACTGAAATTTGGTGGGTAAATGTATTGTATTTTCACTGTTTCACAGTTGGTGGGTGGAGTTAAGTCAGAATTTTGGTGACTTTTGGGTAATGGATTACAGCACATTATATGCTGTGTTTGCAGATTCCAGGTTTTGGTGGGTCTCATTTTTTTTGCTAATACAAGGATAATTTTGTAATTTTACCCCTATCAAATTTTGCCGTCAAAGCTCTATGATACGATAAAAAAGAACGGATGAAGTATATGAAGTATTGTAACTTTTTTCTTAAATTAGACCAAAGCATAAATAGATGTATATGCACGGTGAAAGTTTACCTCTCTTTAAGAGAAAAAATTCTTTTTATTTTTATTTTTTTTTATTTTTAGCAAAGAAAAAAAAAACACTAAAGATCGGAGTATAAATAATTGTTGTTATAGTAAAAATAAGTTGCAACAAACTTACACATAACCTAATACAAGTAAAAGGGTTTTTATTTTTATTTTTAATATAGATACCTTTAGCTTTATTATAGTAATAGTGAAGTTTTTAATTAATTATATAGTGATGTTTATTTTCATATGGAGATCTTCTAGTGTATATAGTGACATAAAAGTATATTGATACCGAGTATATAATAAAAAAATTACACTCATCTCAAAATCAAATGCGAAGTATATCATATTTATAGTGAAAAATGAGAAGTTTAAGAGTTCAATCCATACAGATGTTCTCAATTGTGTATGGAGCAAAGCTTTAAAAGTGGACACAAGTACAAGAGATTTACCAGGCCATACACTTATTCCATAACGGTTCATACGCAATAGCATAAAAATAATCGATTGAGTATAGCTAATGAAGTATAACTAGTTGAACTATTGATGTAGTGATCTTACAATGTAAGTCCATATTTTAAAATATTTTGTAAGCAATTCTTATATACTTAATTCTAGCTAGTACAATACTACAATCCTATCTCTACCATTACATTGTTTTTTCTTTTGCATACTTTCTTATTTAAAACTTAATTTTGCTCTTTTATTTTTATTTTTTATTAAAGAAATGCTCCTTTGTTTTAAATTACTGACATAACCGACTTCATTCTTGTTACAAATCAAACTAGTTAAGGTAGCCAATTAGGGTTCCTTAAAAAAAAACGAAAATCAAGAAAGGGTTTTTTCATTTCTTGATCATAACCGAATTAACTAACTGCCATAACAAACTCTCAGACCAAATAAGATAAATTCGTTTGGATAAATCTTGATTCTGTAACAGCTAAACTACCCTTATAAATATCAACCCACCATTATAAATCAAATCATTCCTCAACCCTTTTTCAAGCACTCTTCATTGTTACAGCAACATTTTCAGAAACATTACTTTCATCACCAAAAATCCTAAGAAATCTCTTTGTTTCTGTTCTGTTTTCTTCTCTTCTTCTGTTAATCACTCCTTCATCAGTACGCAGCCATGTCGGGTTCGGGTTCGAGTTCACAAGCGATGCTACGACGTGGTGTAGCGGAGACAGATTCCGAGGGGCGATACGAAAGGTACCACATGAGCATATCACACCCCCACCCCATGAAATTAGTTTATGAAGGAATTGATACAGTTACTGGTATACAAATCTATTGGTGTAAGATTGTCTTAGGACTTTCAACAGAAGAAGTCAAGAAGAAGAAGAAATTCAAAGATTACTGTGTTGAGCCTAAGTTGTTACAGTCTTTACAACATGAAAATATAGTAAAATGTTTCCATTATTGGCCTGATAAAATCCTGAAGACTGTTCATATGATTACTGAGGCTTTTTCTTCAGAGAATTTGAGGGATTACAGTCTGAAATATGATCTGGTTGGTAATAAGCAAGCAATCAGGAGATGGTGTAAACAGATTCTCTTAGCATTGGACTATCTTCACAGTCAAACCCCACCGATTATGCACCGTGATGTTAGCCTCGAGAACATCTTTATTAATGGGAATACAGGCGAGGTTAAGCTAGGAGAGTTTGGTGCCGCGAGAAGGCTTGAAGAGGGTGCTGATTTACAGGACTATCCTGATGCACCAGAGTACATGGCACCAGAGGTTTTTCTGTTGGACTATGATCAGCGGGCTGACATGTATTCTTTCGGGATGTGCGTGGTTCAGATGATGAGTAAAGAAAAGATTTACAGCGAATGCAAGAATCGCGATGAGATTCAGTCGCGTGTTCAGAGGGGTTTAAGGCCTGCTGCGTTTGAAAAAGTGACAGATCCTGAGATTAGGGAGTTCATTGATGTCTGTCTGGCACTTCCACATGACAGATCTGCAGCATCTGATCTTTTGAGAGACCCGTTGATTCACTCGGAGGCTAATTTTGAAGGCATACGAACAGGGTTGAGCAGTGCAGGTATAGCTGATGCAGATGAGAGGCTGCGCGGAATGATGCAGGGAGGAGGAAGAGGAAGAAGCAAGCCTATTTGGCTTCAGAAGCTGTCAAAAATGTCGTCGATCATACGCAAGAACTTGTGATCATGGCCTAGGCTCGATTTGATTCTTTAGTACAATACTAAACTTTTCCTAGGTATCAATTCTTTTATGTCAGACTACAGATTATAATCAGTCTTTAATTCTAGGTGTTTTAGTATGTTAGTGATTTGATATTACTTAGTATGTCAATTGTCAATAAGTATGATTACACTCAGTTTTAGGTTGATGCTGAGTTTTCTAATTATGCATAATAGTGTGTGTATGTGTGTGTGTCAGACTGTCAGTCAGTCAGTCAGTGTGTTTGCTGATTGATTTTCATCAGTTGTTAGCGTTTGATTTGTGCCAAGAACATTGCTGAGTTAGTTGATTGTAACAAATTTGTCAAGAATATTGCTTAGTTAGTTGAATGAAATAAATTTAGAAGTATTAATATGTTTTTCTTTCTTTATAATCAGTTTCTAGATTCATAAGCTTTGCTTTTCGATTCTGTATTCTCTTATATAGCTACTGTAATGTGATCGAGTTAAGCACAGGCTATATATCCATGATTCCAAGTCATTAGTGTTGCTATATCTTATGTTTAGCCTGAGTTGGGTCTGTAATTAGTAGGACATAATTAAATAAATATGGTTAGTCGTGTTGTGTCATCAAGCTTAGAGTTTATTCGAGTTTAGCTCATAATATAAAATGTATCTTATTATAAAACAACACTTAAATTGTAAGAAAAGTTAATTACACTAATGCCTAAACCTGAAAAAATTTAATCAAACAAAGAAAAACCAATTGATGATGAATTAGTGGTACTTTGTGCATTAATGAGTTAGTTTAATTACTCAATTTCCTGAACCTATAAGGGTAGTAAATTTCTTGCTATGTTTATACAAGTCATGTAAAATTGTAAAGGTTAATGTGATATGATGTATTTTTAATTTAAATAAGTAGATTTGTTCATGCAATGCGCGACTTTTAGATAAAATCTTAATGTTAAACTTCCTAATGCAAGTGATAATTGTAAGCAAGCCGATGTTAATGCAAATTAGCCAATAAGTAACAAGCCAAATTAAACTCATCTGCATGATTTTACTTGTATTATAAAGTTAGTTATTAAGTGGTTAGAAAAAATGAGAAGAAAAAAAAGGTAACATACTACACTGAAATGAACATGGGTGTCATATACTCAATTTCGAATTTAATTAATCGAAGAATCAAGTGTATTTAAATTGTTGAAGTCTGTTTATTCATGGCCGGACTAATATTTCTCTATAATTTAATCTTTTCTACCATATAATCCCTATTTTCTTTTTTTTTTTCTTCTTCTTTTTTTATTGTGTCAAAGTACGTACGTTAATTAGCATTTTATACCTAACACTGTGTTTAGAAAATACTCGCTATTCAATTTTAATGAGCAAAAGTATATACGTTAAATAGAGACAAATAAAATGAGACGGGTAAAGCATATCACAAGGCCAGTATGTATCTAGTTAGTTAGCACACCGGTCTACTGCTACTAGTTATACATATCTGATACCAAGCTCACAATACAGAGAATTAAAAGAATAGCAAAGTAACAAATTTGTGAAGCGGATGAACTGCAAAATAAAGAACGTGACCGCAAGATGATGAATTTTTAGACGTCCACATAACAATAACGTACTACTCATTTAGTCAAACTTAATTATATCATAGCATACGTACTACTCTATATATATAGTTTTAATCTTATTAGTAATTTTATTTGCATTTATTATATTGTTTTATTTTATACAAGCTTAACAAAACTCATAATCAACTCTTATATACACATTAATAGTACTCGAGTCTTTGATTCTACCCTGGTCATACTTTGCTTTATCACTGACGATCATAATTTGCAAATGGCTAGAGTTCTCACTACAATTTTCATCACTACTATTATGCTAGTGGCTATCCAAACCATATCAGGTAAAGTTACCCTCCTTCTTATGTATCACTAGGGCATTGCACCTGCTCGATAAATTATGTACACTTGGGAGGTTAGCTAGGATATCGTGATCTAGGAGTACCACAATATTCCGATCAAATGATTGTACAACTTAACCTTAATTTGGTTTTCTCAATTAATGTAGATTCAAAAGTTTTGATTTTGTTTTAAAAAGACAAGTGAGTGTAAGAAAAAAGTGAGTGAATGTAAGAAAAGAGTAGTAAAGTAAGAATGACCGAAAAATATGTGTTAATATTGTTAGATAAGATTATAAAGACTTTAAAAGGATTTTTAAAATTGAATTAAACTAAAGTGAATAGAACAAAATATAACACGGGTAGCATATTTTTTATTGAGATGATTATTCTCCGTTCTCCATTATGTTCAATAATTAATATTCATGTTGTATATCTATATGGATTTTGCTTCATATTTCAAATGAATTGAATTAATAATTTGAGAATTTTGATATTTAAAAACGTAATTTTTTCAAGTGATTATTACTTCACAAATTAAACTTTATGTTTGACTAGTTAAATTTCTTTCTTACTTATTCAACTCAACCCTTATAGTTGCTGCTAAATCAAAGAAATGTAAGCAAGCATACGACTTATGTGGAGGTGATACCGGAAAAAAATGTTGCAAAGGACTCAAGTGCATTACTAAAGATGATTCTCCGGATGAAATCGGAAAATGTATACCGAAAAGTACAAAATGTAAGAAGGCCTATGATTTTTGTGGAGGCATCACAGAAGCAAAATGTTGCAAAAAATTGAAGTGTGTACGTAAAGATGATTTCAAAAACGCGATTGGAAAATGTATACCAAAAAACCCGAAGTGTAAGAAGAAGAACGAGTTTTGTGGAGGCCTTGCCGGATACAAGTGTTGCAAAGGATTACATTGCATACCGCTAGGCGATGTTCCGCATACTGGTGGAGTTTGTAAGAAAGGGAAACTGTGTAAGAAAAAGGACCAACTTTGTGGCGACTTCACGGGTGTTAAATGTTGCAAGGGACTTAAATGTGAATTTAAAGATGATTTCTTGGAAATTGGAAAATGTAAGCCTAAACACCATTAGAAGCATGAGTTTAATTTGTTTTACTTGTGGTGGTCATAATATTGACACCCTATCTTCAAAATCCTGGCCTCGCCTATGACAACAACCTCCTAAGCCCTCTTATGCTCATGTTAGACATGTACCATTAATCATGTTGTAAAACTAAGAATTATAAATTTTAATGACAAATGAAGTAATGATCAACAACTTAACATCTGAATTAGCTGATTATGTCTAAAGATTCAGTGTACATGCATCATCAGTACTTATACGCCGAAGAAAGAACAATTTGTTTGCTGTCAAACCCAATGCATTAGCTTCCCCAACCACAAAAAACAAGGGAAGTTAAAACTGTTGAGGAAACTAGCTTAGCTATAATTAGTTACATGTGGTTTGAGCATATATCTCTCTAATTAAGCTCTGTTAACAAGTGCTTTCTCTCTCGCTCTCTCCATTATATCTCTCAAGATCGAAGTTACAATCATTTCGGAATGTAATCTTAACTGTCTCTTGTCAATGTCGAGCTGTTGGACTTCTCAAACCTCCCAAATTCTCTAGGTAGGATACCTTCTTAGGAACTGCAATGTTCGCGAGTTTTCCAACTTTTAAGTCACTTATATCTTTTATGTCCTCATTTCCTGCTCCTTCCTTTGCTTTTAAGTCTCCTTCGCCGTTATCCATAGTCCAGCCCATGAAATCTGATAGTGTCATTGATGGCGGTGTTCCTACAGCATTTAGCCTCTCTATTTCTTCATCTGCATTAGGGAACTTTGTTGAAGTGATCTTGATATCTGCTAGGGGATTCCTCTTCTTTTGCGCGAGTGATGGGTTTTGAGCAAGAGAATCTGCATACAGTACATCTTCTATTCGAGATAAGACTGTGTGTGCCAAGCTCTCTAGGATTCTTGAGTAACTCTCAAGAAGTGCATGACCAATATCCTGCAAAAGCCATAAAATTACCACATTACACAAACCTATTTAGGTTTCTTGTTTCGAGTTGTCTGAAAACTAACTCCCCTAATTTAAACTTCATACTTCGTAAGTTTAGTATAAAAAAAATAAGTTCAGATAAGAGCCGATAAAGCTGAAAAATGACATGTAAGGAGCCCTTGGTAAGCATGGATTTTTACCTTGTTAAATTGAATCTTGCTGATATCGAGTTGGGATTGAGAAATTCCAGGGAATCGCTGCTTGATGATAATCAAAATGGTCTCCGCCCTCTCTTCAAATAGTTCCCTCTTCTCTATACTCACGGCTGAACCCCAAGGAGACTTAGCATCCTTGTTGGTCATCTTTCGTCTCCAAATCACTACTGAAGCCTCAATTCTGTTCTTGAGATCGAGAATTTTGTGCTCAGATGACAAGTCCATTATTGTAAAAAATTGCTCAGGATCAAAATATTCAACTGTTATGCTTTTGTATAGTGCATCTCCAAGGCTAGCTCTTCCATTCTACCAAGAAAACGCGACATTTTTATCAGCAAAAAACCAGCAAAAATCTAGGAAACTTGTATTTCAAAAACAAAGAATTCTGTTCTTTAGTATTAAAACCTTAGGCAGGGATTCAATGTAGTTTTCGGGGATTTCCATTTCTGATAAGACTTGTGCATTGATAGCCATTGCGGCCTTAAGCACTTGGTTAACAGAATCCTTCTGAAACTGCAGCCATTTCTTTGTGACTTCAGATAGACCATTTGTAGGAACTTTGACTGTAGGTAACCACCATTTATCATCTCTTTTAGACCCTTTCTCTGAATCATCAGCATCTTTAGCTACGTAATAGAATTCGTTTTGGTCCTTGAAATTGTCTAGACAGTCCTATATTCATGATACATACAAGCAATTCAAATTCTGTTTTATAAACCAAAATACTTCCATGTACAATAGTATATATGAAATGATAATATATGAATTTAGCCTAATTTGAATACTTACAATTAGCATGGCGTCAAGCTTTCGAAGGGCAGGGATATTCATTTGGAGATCCGTTCTTTGTTTTGTTATCATGATCTGTTACAAAGATATGATAATACAATTAGTCCAACTTGTACTAAAGTATGAACAAATTTAACAAAATGAAGTGTTAGATAAGAAGATACTTGCCTCCATATTAGTTCCATTCGCGGATTTTTGTTGAGAAGGAACAAATTCAACTATATGATCGGTAACAGATAACAGCCAATCGATTTCCTTCTTCCATCTAGACCTGTTTTCCGGGGCCATTGGCTCTAGTTTCCTCTGTTCTCCAAACACAGATGCTGCATAATAATGCACAAGGTACTACTTTGCGTAAGTTAATCATGAAACTAATCTATTGACCATTCAAATATACTTTCTCAATGTGATGCAGGGCAGGTGGTGGCCTCAAGAAATTGCCCTGCAGGCCTTGCACTCGCGTGCTATTGCTCAAATCATCGCTATGGTTTGTGAAATGTACTCTATGTATTTGGATATTGTTCTAGATAAATATGGATATACATAAATTAGACATCAAGCTTATACATAAGCCTATGTTTGAAGGTTAAAATGCAATTCTAACAAAATTTACTTTTCTAAAGTCTCAAAATGCACACTTGTGCATTAAGCTTGTGCAATAATGATCGTATACACATATATACAACATGAACAATCTAAATCCATTTTCCTATAAGTTTATCCAACCTTTAATTTTACTTCAATTCCATCTGATATTATTCCAATTGTAGACCTCTGTTGAAAAAAAACAACCACAAAACAGAAATATTTTCGGGTTGTTGTAGGCCTTACCTGCCAAATTGGTGACGGCGTTGGATAAAGCCAAAGCCGAGGACACACCCTTTCCTCCACCAGACATATCCTCGCCTAGGAGCAACTTGGCAAACCTCTCCTTCATCATTTCCATATCTAAAACCATAAATTAAAACCATAAAGTAATAACAATGTAACGATAACATGGTAATAATGTATCGTCGAAAACCATAAATATTATGATCTAATAATTTTACATGAACAACAATGTAGAATATGTTAAGGATTATGTTCATACCTTTCTGAAGGCCATCTCTATCACCTCCACCATACGCGGTCAACCTTGATCGCGGACCAGGACCTTGATCCTTCTCTAAGCTTGAACCAATCCTATGGCTAATCAACAAAGGTTGTTCTACCTTAGAAGCATAACTTTTGGTACCCCTTGGATCCTCTACCAAGTCCTCTGCGCTCGAGCTCTCTAGGATCATACTTCGTGAATGGCCGCGCCTCATGCTATTATTCCCAACACTTTCTCTATTCATTCCTCGAATTTGGTTTAGCCTCGCCTTGTAATTCTCTTGTTCTTGCTCCAACGACGCGCGCACCATTTCCTTCCTAGCTAAATTTGTGTTAACTATCATGGAATGGATGTGTTTGTGGTTGGAACAAAAAATTTTGCATGACACAAAAAAAAGAAAATTTTGTTAATGGCAACAACAAGGATGTTTTTGTGTCATGAAGTATAATAAGATTAAGGAGAGAGGAAGAAAAGTTTGTAATGAAGAAGAAATCTTTGTTTGACTTTTGTTTTTTTTTATTTTTTTTTTAATTTTTTTAAAAAATTTTTGTAACAAAAATGATAAATTGCTAAGAGGGAAGAGAAAATTCAAGCATAGTTTAGGCTGGCAAAGAATTGGTAGGATGATTGTTTTTGTGATAGTTTACTATTTTTGAAAAGAAAGGATGTTAAGAACGTGGGGTGCATGTTTTGGGAGGAAAAGTTACAAGTTGTCATGAAAGAGAGAATTTTATAATTAAGATTTGATTAATATTTAACTAGGGGGTGATTAAGGGTAAAGTGGAAGTTTTATCTAAGGATAAGGAGAATAATGTTTGGATTTTTGGCTAATTAGTGTTTTGGACAGTCAAGAAAGTCCAACGAACAGCCACGTCTAAGGCATCATCATGATTGATTAATAATGGATACGCAACTATTTCTTCATTTTCATAGGGAACAATATAAGGTGTATCTATATAATTATGTTATGAGTATGTTAGATGATATTGTTATTATGTACGTTAATTATAAATGCATTTTAAGAGTGTACCATTTTATGGCCAACATATAGAGAAGCTTTGTTTTAAAGAAATTAGTTATTGTATCGTTTGATATATAATTAACATACATAAGTATATGTTGGATCGTCTATTACAAGTTTACAACATCTATGTAATGTATTCGTACCAGAACATTGAGAATGGTGCTCTACCAGTCTACCTTAACGCAAAGCTACATATACGACAGGCGCTCTTGCACCATCATAATTCATAAATACTAGTGTTTCACACTTTCACTTAGGAAATAACAAAAATAAAAACTCGAAAAAGACCTCTTGTCAAATTTAGAAAGGAATATTTTCAATATTTCAACAAAATAAAAAATATAAGCCAATTAATTATTACTCCCTCTTTTTTTTTTTCCTTTTTTTTTAATGCATCAATTTGACCGGCACATTTGTCAAGGTGTAACTTTGACTATTAATATCTTCAATTGTCTATTAGTAAAATTGTAACAAAATTATATTATGAAAGTAGACATTGTGACGAATCTAACGATACTTAATATAATAACATTTATTTATTTTATAATAGCAAAAAAATTCAGTCAAACATAGCATGTGAATAGTGCAAAATTCAAACTGATGCATTTAAAAAAAAACGATAGTATTAGTATGTTGTATGAGTATTAGTTAATCATCTTATAATTCTATGTTACCTATATATACTCCCTTCAATTTTTATTTTCTTATTTGAAATCTTTTTAGGAGATTAAAAAATCAAAAATGGGAAAATTAAAATGGAACAATTCAATAGAGTACGTCAAACATGCATATAGGTCCACTGAGCTTACAATATTCATCATATATTAAAAAAAAAATGAGTACAAGTACTATTGTACTAATATTAATCACAAGTTTCTTCCTAATTTGTAGAAAGTAATTAAGGAAAATGATTAGTATTACTAAACTTTGATTCTATCTTGTAGGATAGATATAATTTGTCTACCCATTATATTGGGTTGATCCGACCATCTCTTGGTATTGATGTGGTAGGTGATCACCAGTGGCGGACTCAGGAATTTCCGACTGGTGAGTCATAATTGATAACCAAATATGTAAAAAGAAAAAATTTACCAAAATTCCCAAGAAAAATTATTTACAAAGATCATCCAAATAGAAAATTGACAAGATTACAGTACTAACTAATAATTAACAAGCTTAAAATTGACAAGACTAAAATTAACAAACTAATAATTAACAAGCTAATAATTGACAACATGACAAGCTTAGCTCTCTAATAATTAACAAACTAATAATTGACAAGATTAAAATTTGTACAAGCATTAAGTTCACATTTCATCAAAAACCCAACAACATTAACAAAAGGTTCAAAGTTAGTATTTTTTTTTTAAAAAAAAAAACTTAGAAAATAATTTATTTATTTATTTTTTTTAAAAAAACTTAAAAAATATTTTGGGCCCTGGTGAGTCATTTGACCCACCAGGCATAAGGCCAAGTCCGCCAATGGTGATCACAATTGCAATGGTGGATTGATGGTTTATGGTGGAAAAAGTCAATTTGTCTAATTAGGTAGGTCACTAACATAAGTCAAACCATTAAAGTATTTAAGTCACCTTTACAGAAAAAAGTATTACACGATGAGTTCAAGACTTTAAAGGTTAAAAAAAAAAAGATAAGAATTGGGGCCTTGAACCACGCACTATTGACATTTCGCCCTTATTAGTTGTCTAATTATTATGAAAGTAGTCGGCTCTTCTTTGTGTTAAGTTTGGTGGTTTAGGATCAATATTGACAAGGTTTTGAAGTTGTGGTGCTAGGTGACAACAAATTATGCTAGTGATAAAGAGAAATTTCCCTTTAGAGCGAACCCACTCTTGAGTTGAAATTTTCTCATAAAGGAGTTTGTGGGCTCTCTATCTCATGGCATCCCAAGATTCCCAAACATGAGATATCTCCTAAAGTGAAGAAAACTAGAATCTCCTTAGGAAACTTTCAAGTGAGTAGAGAGAGGAATAAACTCTTAAATTGCAATGTTCGTAAATAAGAACCACCTAATTCTCAATATTTAGTTGTCTAATTACGCTAGAGAATATCAATACCACCATTGTTATTACTCCATTTCTTTTTTTATGTAAATGATTCGACAATACAAATTACAAATAAACATACTTGTATGAGACTCGAATACATATCCTCAGTCGTAAATTCGTAACTACTTGACCAAGCCCTTAGCGCCTCAGCAATTCATTCCTATCATCAAGGTCTCCCAAATCTTCAAGAACGTGTCACCGAATATATGCTACATGCCCAACATAACACAACAAACAATCACACAAGACACAGCCAAAACCAACTCTAATTTCCTACCACTAGTCCCACACAAATTCATTCACAATCCATAAAATACACCCTCACAAAAACACACTCAACTCAATCAACAACATCATCACCAACAAAAATGGAGTCAATAGGAGTACTATTAGCATGCCCAATGAATTCCTACCTTGAAGAAGAACTCACCAAACGCTACAATCTCTTCCGCTTCTGGAACTTTCCAGACCGCACCCAATTCCTCTCTCAACACTCCAACTCCATTCGCGCCGTCGTCGGTAACGCTTTCGCCGGAGCCGACGCCGCCCTTATCGACGCTTTGCCGAAGCTCGAGATCGTGTCGAGTTTTAGCGTCGGACTTGATAAAATTGATCTGGGTAAATGCAAAGAAAGAGGAATTAAGGTTACGAATACCCCTGATGTTTTGACTGATGATGTTGCGGATTTGGCGATTGGGCTTATGCTTGCTGTTTTGCGAAGGATTCCTCAGTGTGATCTTTATGTTCGAAATGGGTTGTGGAAGAAAGGGGATTTTCGATTAACTACTAGGGTATGTTCATTTAATTAAATTTGATTGAATTCCCCTTTTGTTTATAAAATTGGGTTTGATTCATTTTTTTTGATTGAATTATGGTTGTTAAAATTATGGTGAAGCTTGATTGATTGTGATTTGGTTTAATTTGAGTTAAATAGTACCCAATTTCCCTGTGTTGAACTGTTGATGATGAATTACTGAATTACATTATGTTGATTGTTTTTGGTGTAGTTTGATGGTTGATGTGATTGTGTTGAAGTTGGATTGATTTTTTTTAATGTAATTTCAGTAGAAAGGAATTAATGTCACAGTGGATTTCGAGTTCGGTAATTTGAGTGAAAAGGGGAACTATATCACATTGAATTGATATGCTTTGGTACAATTTGGCTCTTTTGATATTGAATTGGTTATGCTTTGGTTTAATGTGAATTGAGTAAAAGCCAATATCACATTCAATTTGGGTTATCATCTTATTGTTTTTAACATGTGTTAATGGTGAGTTTTGAAATTCTGTTAGCATTGTTGACTTTTTCTTTGAGTTTTGTAGAAATTAGTGTAATTTGGGATAACATACTAACTTTTGCTACTTCAGAAATTGGATTCTTATATTTTGCTGAATTTCCTATTCGTATTTATTAACATATCACTATGATATTTGTTGTTGCTGCTGCTGACCTTGTAGTTGGGGTAATTCTGCAAAGTTCCAATTCTGTCATATTTAGAAGTTTAACATATCCACAATTGTCTGATTAATTATGGTTTATTAAAACCTAACTGCGAGTCTTAATCATCAATTTATCATTGTCACTCACATAACTATTAGCCTATTAGCTTGAAGCTTATCAAAAACTTAGAAAAACTGCCGTTTAGAAACTTAAAAATTTAGCTGTTATGCATGAAACTTGAGAGCATATAGGTGTTTAAAATAGCGAATACAAGCATGGATGTTAAACTTTAATTAGGGTTCTGTATATCAACACTGAACATTTAACTGGCTCTGTCTTCATGAACCACAAAATGGGATGGGTTGTGGTTGGGGAGGACTTGGGCTTGGAATTTTTGTTGACTATGAGATTAGACTTCATGTTCGCACCCACTGGATGATGAACAGCGAAGTTCATATTGGATTACTCAATCTAAGACATGTTATTATGAGGTTCTCAATAAAAGGAGATTTCATTTAAGCAGAATCTCTAGATATCCTCCTTGTGCTTTAGCCGTTTATAAAATTAGCAGTCATTTTATGATCTGTGCTTTGGTTATGTTGGACTGGAGAAGGACGGGAGATCGTTATGTGGTAAATAATTTAATGTGTTACTAACAATATGATTGGTGATGTTAAACACTCAGTCTTTAAATTGCCTGCGCAAATTGATACTGATCCTCCATTTCCTCATGTAAATTCCTCTTTTTGTTTGTTGTTCATTTTCATATTTTTTTTTTTTAAATAGTAAACCTTTGGTTATCTTTAACGATGTTCATTATGAAGTTGGAGCCTACATCTATACTTTACCATACCATGAAGCTGTAGCTAGTTGGATAACTTGGGCAAGTTTTAACCTATTACTGGCATATCAATCATACCATTGAGTTGCTTGCTTTATAGAGCATATATGCCAATCGGTTTATTCCACATGCTGAACTTTGTTGGATGCCTCATTGATATTTACGTGCTGCACTTTATATATTAGGGACTTATCCCCTGGATATTAAATGCATTGAGTATCGAACAATCTTTCTGATTAAACCTGTTGACAACTTTCTACCTTTGTATCTTATATCCATGAGTGGGTTCCTTGATTAAGAGCTCAGCATTAACTGCTCTTTTGCTTTGTCTTTCCAGTTTAGTGGCAAAAGGGTTGGAATTATCGGCTTGGGTAGGATTGGTGCTGCAGTTGCCAAGAGAGCTGAAGCATTTGACTGTCCAATTTCTTATTACTCAAGAACTAAGAAGGCAGATTCAAACTATACTTACTATCCCAGTGTCATCGAGCTTGCCTCCAACTGCGACATACTGGTAGTTGCTTGTGCCTTAACTGAAGAAACACGACATATTGTCAACCGTGAAGTAATAGACGCTTTGGGGCCTAAAGGTGTTCTGATCAACATTGGAAGGGGCCCTCATGTTGATGAACCAGAGTTAGTAAAAGCACTTTCTGAAGGCCGGCTAGGTGGGGCTGGGCTTGATGTCTTTGCAAATGAACCTCATGTTCCTGAAGAGTTGTTCAAGCTTGACAATGTAGTACTCTTGCCTCATGTTGCAAGTGGGACTGAGGAGACTCGTACTGACATGGCTAATCTTGTTATTGGGAACTTGGAGGCTCACTTCAATGGAAAACCGCTGTTGACACCAGTTGTTTGATTGTTCAGGGTAATCGTAGGCCATTAATATATGATTCCTGATTGTGGACAAACTATTTTGTTAGGGAAATGAACCGTTTATCGTTTGACTGAGCACGGTTGTATTATATTGCAAATTGAATTCCCTGCTTAACATTATTTATTCCCAAGATCAGTTTGGGTCATAAAAATAGTCTTTTTTTTAAGTACTTGGCTTTTTTTTTCTTTTTTGGGTGCTAAAGAGGGGGCTAGGCCTCAAACAGAGAATTACTCCGTACTCTGTAACTATTAATGTCATGATGAAGAATAAATTCTCCCTAATTCGGGGAGTTGGTCAAGCTCTATTCTTGCATTTTGATTGATCCAGGCATTTGCTAACCAGTGTACAGCCCTGTTCCTTTGTGATAGACATGAGTAAATAAGATCTCCCAACTCCCAAGTATTGTTTCTTATCATTCTCGGCATTTGTACACCATTGCCTGTATAATACGGAGTAGGTCAGTTCTAGTACACCATTAACAGGGTATGAGGCATTTTCAAGGAATAGGTTATAATACCATAACAAATTAACAAGGTACACCATTCATATATTTATGTCATAAGTTATTAAGTAGCTTGTATACTTGTATGCGATCAATTGACATATCAGATACTCAATGTACGTTATCAAAATATCAATTCAAGGCTTCAAGCCCATAAAGCCTAAAATAAGTGTTACCAAATAATTTAGTCATATAAAACCTTAGAGTTGATACTCATAACCTCAAAAATATTACCTCAAATTGAATCTTGTCTTAGTTGTCTATATCATTAATTTCGTTGCTGGCTAAACACCAAAAGAAACCAATTTACCAAACAAAATAAACCATAAATCATACTCCCTCCGTCCCCGAAACTTCGACACTTATGGCCTAAATTTAGTCCCAAAATGTTCATCCCATTTGCATTTTAATACCCTTTAATTTGCAATAATATTTGTGCAAAATTAGCTTCCCCATGCAAATTTTGCTTTTTCTATATACTTCTATTACTTTTTCTCTCTACTTTTTTGCAATTCCAATGTAAATTTCCCTCAATGTATTTTTCTTAGTTTTCCCATACACTTTCAATTTAACTTCTTAATACCCGCGAAATCAACCCAAAAGGGTCGAAGTTTCGGGGATGGAGGGAGGGAGTAGTTATATATTAGCAAGTCTTCGCTAATCACTAAACCTGGGCACGGGCCGGGTTGGCCCGCGTGCCGCCCGGCACGGCCCGCCGTTCGGCGCAGCCCGGCACGGCCCGAATTCAAGCACGGCACGGCACGAAGTTCAACTCCCGTGCCACGAGCCGTGCCACGGACAAGGTTGAGAATTCCCAGGCACGGCCCGGCACAAGCACGGGCATGGCCCGCCGTGCCGACCCGCAGGCACGGCCCGCGGGCCAACGGTAATGTTACCGTTTATTCTAGCTCCTTAATAAGCCAAAAAAACGGCTAAAAAACGGCTAGTTTTTTGCCAATTTGCTCCCCAAAAATTCTATAAATACTCACCTCCATTTCATTCCCAAATCACAATCTCTTCTTCTTATCTCTTATATTCTCTAAATCTCTAATAATCCTTATTTTCTTAAATTCTCTAATTATTCTCTTAAATTCTCTAATTATTTTCCTAATATCGGAAAAAATTAAAAAGTTCGTAATCGTAATTAGTGGAGCGTTGAAGCACGGTTGTAAGATCTAAACTAATCTTAAATTTATTATTGTTTTATTGTTATTATTAGAATAATCTTGTTTAATTATTATTGTTGTTAATTGTTATTGTTGTTGTTATAATTGTTGTTATTAATTATTATTATTGTTACAATTGTTGTTATTATTTATTTTTGTTGTTATTGTTATTGTTATAGTTGTTGTTATTAATTAATATTATTGATATTTTTATTGTTAAAATTGTTGTTATTAATTATTATTATTATAGTTAACCACTTTTTATTAAAAAATTAATTGTTAATTATGGCATCGAACAACCCATCATCTAGGTCTAGGGGGAAAGGCCGACTTATCCGTAGTAGTAGTTCTAGGGAACCACCAAATACAACGAGCCCCCAAATTACGAGTCAAACCAATGACCCCATTTACTTCCCCCCGGGCTATGAGCCATATAATACGTCGGGATTTCCAGCACCACCACTAAACCAATTTCCACTACCACCATACCAATTTCCACCTAATTATATCGGTGATCAACAAAACTATTGTTCTAGCCAAGGTAGCCAAGAAAGTACCCGAATTCCCTCCGGTTCTACCCCTTCTACTGCCACTCCCACTAGTCCCACTACTAACCATCACACACATCATGAATGGTTAACCGAAACTGAGATGCTACTTTTGAAAAACCGAAGGAGTGAGGTATGGCGTTATTTTGTCCTAAGTAAAGATGGTGAACAATGGGCAAAATGTAAAACATGTAATAGTGTATTCACGGCAGTTACCAAAAACGGGACGGGACACTTATCTAGACACATGAAAGCTTGTGCAAAACCAGCTAGTGATCCAACCCAGCCCAAAATTTCCCAATTCCATCCATACGGCTTTACATACAACTATGAGAGGGATAGGGATGAACTAGGAAAAATGATAGTACACGCCGAACAACCTTTTCTTTTCTCGGAAAGTGACGCATTCAACACCTACATTAACAAAGCACTACAACCCCAACATAAAAGAATCTCTAGGAAAACCGTTCATTCCGCCGCAATGAAAAATTTCCTAGAGTACAAAGTCCGGTTACAAGCCGAATTGAGTAACCTTAACTGTAGAGTATCTTTAACAGCCGATTCTTGGGATAGTGGTTATAAATATCACTATTTATGTGTGACTTGCCATTGGGTAGATGATCAATGGATGTTACAAAAAAGAATAATACATTTCAAAATGCTGGAATACCCACACACCGGCATTAACATTGCTCACCATTTAATGCAAGCAATAGACGAATACAACCTTCGAGATAAAATGATGTCTATGACTTTTGATAATGCAACCTCTATGACATACACAGCTAATCTTATCAAACAAAACTTAACCGATGTACTATTAGACGGTGAAGCTCTTCATACTAGATGTGTTTGCCATGTACTTAACTTATGTGTACAGGATGGAGTTCGGGCAATTGGCCCATACTACAGCAAAATCAGAGATGCTATTATGTCTATTAATAGCTCTAACATGAGATACCAAGAATGGAAGAGCTTTCTAAAACAACAAAAGATAAGGGTAATAAAAATTAGAACCGATTGCCCAACTAGGTGGAATTCCACCTATGACATGTTAACAAAGGCAATTGAGTACAAGGGCCCGTTAACATTATTTTACAACCAAAAATTTCCACAAAATGCTTTGTATGATGATGATTGGAATAACTGTGAAAGATATATGCAATTTTTACAGTTATTATATAACATGACGTATTGTTTTTCTACTGTTTACAATCCTTGTGCTCAAAACTTTCTTTCTAATGCATGCTTACTCGCCCAACTTTTCGCTGATCATCGCCATCAAAGTGATTATGATCAGTATCTTCCAGCAATGGAAAAAAAGTGGCGTAAATATTATAGTGAGATTCCTTTGATTTATATTTTTGCTTCCATATTAGATCCTAGGCAAAAGTATGAAAACACATTTATGTTAGTTGACATTTACTTTCAATGCATGTTTCTTGACGATGATGTAGAAAACTATAAGACTAATGTGAAGGATCAGTTTTTTGCTTTATATAGAGTCTATGAAGCCAAATATGGCACCGTTCCTCGCTCAGGGCCTTCCCAACCATCCAAAAACGTAAGTAAGAAGGCCAAACATTTATTTTCACAAGCTACTAACTTGATTTCAAGGTTTTAAGGTGATTCATCAATCAGGAGAACGCAAAGCGACGTCTCGGAGTTGCAGATGTACCTGAGTTACGACTTCACCAAAGGCATGGACGACGATGAGATAAACAACCTCGACCTCCTTGCATGGTGGAAACAACAAAGCTCGAAGCATCCAACTTTGGCGGCAATGGCACGAGACATTCTTGCTATCCAAGTTTCCTCCGTCGCCTCCGAACGAGCTTTCAGCGCATCCGGAAGGGTTTTAGACGATAGAAGAACAAGTCTAAAACCCGAAACACTAGAAATGTGCGTGTGTTTCAAAGATTGGTTGGATGCGGAAAATCGCTCACAAGACCGTTCTTACGACCACAACGACAACGAAGAAGGAACCTCCGCTTCCGGTTCGGGTTCGGCTAGTTCCCAATCTATGCAACTAGCCGATGACCTTGAAGGCGAAGGCGAAGACGAAGACGAAGACGAAGACGAGCAAGAAGAAGGAGAAGAAGAATAGACAATTATTGTATATAGTACGATTTTAAAAATATCAATTTTATCATTTTCCAATTTTTGTTTAATACCATCATTGTATGATTTTTATCATTGTTATCATTGTACAATTTTCTCAACTCAAGTAATAATAATATAAAGTACGCATTATTCACATCCAAAGTCCAATTTGCCTTTTTTCCCCGTTTTGTTACAATTTGTAAATTCATATTAAAATAAAATAAAATTATACCAATTACTAATAAATCATAAACATTAAATTTTAAAGTAATAGTATAAAGTAAATATATAAATATAAATATTGAATATACAAATTATAAAACATAAATATTCAACTTATAATTATAAAATTCATAACTTAATAACTTATAACTTATAAGTTATAAACTTATAAGTTATAACCTTATAAAACTTATAATTATAATTTTATAACTTATATACATTATAAACTTATTAATTTATAATGTTGTCATATAAAAAAAAAAAAAAATTATTTGAAAACTGCACCAGCCCGCAGGCCGGCACGGCACGAGCCCGCCAGGCCGTGCCGTGCCGTGGGCTGGCCTGTGAAAATGGCCGGCACGGCACGGCACGAAATCCTGGGCCCGCCGGCACGACGGGCACGACACGAACCAGCCCGTGGCCCGCCAGGCACGGCCCGCGGCGGCCCGGCCCGGCACGGTGCCCAGGTTATTCACTCCTTTTCTCTCACATCTCTACTTTACAAATGGAGAAGAAAGGCGTACTAATGACCTCCCCAATGTCCTCCTACTTAGAACACGAACTCAATTCCCGCTTCACCCTCTTCAAAATCTGGGAAAAACCTTGCTCAACCCCACAATTTCTCAAACAAAACTCAAACTCAATCCACGCAATTGTAAGCAATGCAGCAAACGGTGCCAATGCTGAAGTGATCGAATTCCTCCCCAATTTAGAGATTGTCGCAAGCTACAGTGTTGGGGTTGATAAAATAGATCTGGGTTTGTGTAAAAAGAGAGAAATTAAGGTTACTAATACTCCTGATGTTCTTACTGATGATGTTGCTGATTTAGCTATTGGGTTGATTTTGAGTACTCTTCGAAGGGTTTGCGTTGCTGATGCTTTTGTCAGAAATGGGTGTTGGAAGAATTCTGCTTTTCCTCTGTCTACTAAGGTTGTTCTCTTATTCTTATAATTAGATTTTATATAAAGATTATTCATTTACTAAGTATTTGTTTGATTGATGTTATTTGATTCATTCTTAGGTTTTTGATTGGTGGTGTTTATGACTTTATTATATGCATTTGTTGTTACTTGAGTGTTTGAGCTTTTTGAGAATGAGGGAATGCCAAAATTGCCAATTAGTGAGTTCGTTGAGTCTTGGGAGGTGGTATTGAAGACTTGGGATTTAATCGCACCATGTGGTTATTGACCCTGGACAACTCGTTTAAATTTCGTAAAATGTTTCATGTTCCATTTGGTTTCCTGCCACCAAAAGATTATTGATCAATGTGTTCTTGTATTTGGATTAAGGACTTTCTAAGGTTAAGCTTATGCAGATTCTGTGTCGTATGAACAAGCTTAGATGTGCATTACTCCCCCCGCGCCCCCCTTTACTAGGAGATAGTTGATAACATGATGGTCTTGTTTGAGTTTTTTTTATGGGACATTTATGAGAGAAGGTTTTGTAGGGATCGGAAGAGGTCACTACGACTCTCACAAAATCACCAACTCAAGACAATCAACCAATAATTCAAACAAATCAACCCAAATTATTTCACAACCAAATAACCACACACACAACCAGCAATAATGCAGTAGCAAAATAACAATAGCACCAACAATAATAGGAAGAAAAGATAATAATCAACACACGAGACTTTTACGTGGAAAACCCCTTCGATGTGAAGGATAAAAAACCACGGGACCGTTAAGGAGTCCACCCTAACTTCTCTTATTGATAGTTGAGGGTAAAATAAACCCAAATCAGTCTACAAAAGGTTTATACACCCATCAACAACAACAAACAATAAGAGATGAAAATTAGAGAACAAGAGGAGTAGAAATCACCCAAAAACAGTGCTTCTGTCCAAGGACGATTCTGACCAAACTAGAGCTCAAACGACGATCTCCACCGTCCAAAATGAAGCCCTTGATGTCAGGAACAAGCTGTCAAAATTTGAGGATGATCCAACGGTTGAATTTCTGGCAACGGACAAATCTCTAAAGGCTGTCCAGAAAAATCCGAAAATGAAATACTCACTTTCTCTCTCTTTTGTGTGTTGTCATTTTTTGTGAATGAATTCCACTCCTCACTTCACTTGGCTGCTGCCCTAATCTCACAAAAATTTTACCCCAAAGCTTTCTAAGAAAGCCACCAAAAATAAGCCCAAAAAGACTTACTACAAACTAGCAAAATGTAATAAAATTTGACCAAGTAAAATGGGCCAAATACAAAATACATTTTACCACAAATTGGGCTGGACCCATAACAATCTCCCCCTCCAGCCCAACACGGGGAAGACCAACACGCTTCAAGCATCACTTGAAGCTCATTCCCACAAGCTTGCTACAAACATCAAGCTTGCTTCCGGGAACCATCTTAGTCAACATATCTGCACCATTCTTGTCGGTGTGGACTTTCTTCAGTTTCAAATGCCTTTCTTCAATCACATCTCGTAACCAATGATATCGAACATCAATATGCTTGGTACGAGAATGGTACATTGCATTCTTACTCAAATCCATAGCACTTTGACTATCACAAAGCACTACATATTCTCCTTGCTTCAAACCCAACTCACGAAGGAACCTTTTAAGCCATAGCATCTCTTTGCCAGCTTCCACAGCTGCAATATACTCTGCCTCAGTTGTTGACAATGCTACACATTTTTGTAGCTTGGATTGCCATGAGATGGCTCCCCCTGAAAAAGTAAACACATAACCTGAGGTAGACTTTCTGTTATCAAGATCACCTGCCATGTCTGCATCTGTATATCCTTCAAGTAAAGGTTTGCCACTTCCATAACACAAACTTAACTTGGAAGTGCCCCGCAAGTATCTGAAGATCCACTTTACTGCTTCCCAATGAGCCTTACCCGGATTGGATAAGTATCTACTCACTAATCCAACAGAATGTGCAATATCTGGCCTAGTACAAACCATAGCATACATCAAAGAACCAACAGCAGAAGAATATGGAATAGAAGACATACTTGCTTTCTCCTTCTCTGTTGTAGGACAAGCTTTCTTGCTTAGCTTGAAATGTGGTGCAAGTGGTGTACTAACAGGCTTGGCATGCTTCATATTGAACCTTTCAAGAACCCGTTCAATATACTTTTCTTGTGATAGCCATAATTTTCCCGCTTTCCTATCACGAGCAATCTCCATGCCTAAGATTTGCTTTGCGGGACCCAAGTCTTTCATGTCAAATGACTTGGACAAGTTTTTCTTCAAGTTGCTAATCATCTCTGAATCTTGTCCAACTATCAGCATATCATCTACATACAAAAGAAGGATAATGAACTTGCCACCAGGGAACCTCTTAAAGTACACACAAGGATCTGCAGAAGTCCGCTTATAACCATTACTTGTCATAAACGAATCAAATTTTCGGTACCACTGCCTTGGTGCCTGTTTAAGCCCATAAAGACTCTTTTTTAACTTGCAAACAAGATTTTCTTTCCCCTTTTCCTCAAATCCTTCAGGTTGCTCCATGTAGATTTCTTCATGCAAGTCACCATGTAAAAAGGCAGTTTTAACATCAAGCTGTTCTAACTCAAGATCAAGACTTGCAGCTAACCCTAGCACAGTTCTGATAGAAGTCATTTTGACAACTGGAGAGAAGATCTCATCAAAGTCAATGCCCTTTTTCTGGTTACATCCCTTGACCACCAATCTGGCTTTCCTCTTCACAATCTTCTCACCATCTTTCTTGTTCTTGAAAACCCACCTGTTTTTCAAGACTTTCTTACCCTTGGGAGGCTTCACCAACTCATAAGTTTCATTCTTCTGTAAGGAATCCATTTCTTCCTTCATTGCATCGAGCCACAAATCTTTCTCTTCAAGAGACAACACTTCTCGATAATTTTCTGGCTCTCCATCCTCGGTGAGTAGAATGAACTCTGAGCTTGGATACCTTGTTGAAGGCTTGTGCTCTCTGGTTGACCTTCGAACATGTGTATCCACAACTTGAGGGGTAGGTTGCTCCCCCTGCTCATGAACCTCTTCATGTACTTCTTCCTCATTTGATGAAGACTCATCATGATCAACACCATCATCCTCATGAACGCCATCATCATTATGATGAATTGGTACATCACCATCAGGTTGTACCTCACCAACATCTTCATGATTCTCCTCAACATTCTCATTTGCAGGCTGATTTACAGGTGTAGGAGAAGAAACATCATCAGTAGTATCAAAAGACAATTCTGAAGTAGAAGAATACCTTGTACTCAGAAGATCTGCACCCTTCTCATGCTCAAAGAATACTACATCTCTACTTCTCACAACCTTCTTTTTTTCAGGATCATATAGTCTGAAACCATACTCTTCATCACCATAGCCAACAAAGACACATGGATTAGTCTTGGAATCAAGCTTCGATCTTTGATCTTTCGGCACATGCATGAATGCCTTGCATCCAAAGACTCTCAAGTGTGAATATGAAGGATCACACCCTTTCCATGCTCTATCAGGAATGTCAAAACCAAGAGGAACTGATGGAGAACGGTTGATCAAATAAACGGCACACTGAACTGCTTCAGCCCAGAATGTCTTAGGAAGGTCAGACATTCTAAGCATACATCTCACTTTCTCCATAATGGTTCTGTTCATCCTTTCTGCAACTCCATTGTGTTGTGGTGTACCAGGCTCTGTCTTCTCATGTCTTATGCCATGCTGTGAGCAATAATACTTGAACTCTTTCGAAGTGTACTCACCACCATTGTCAGTTCGAAGACGCTTCAACTTTCTTTCTGTCTCCCTTTCTACCATGGAATGAAATTTCTGGAAGACCTCGAACACTTGGCATTTTGTCTTCAACATATACACCCAAGTTCTTCGAGTAGCATCATCAATGAAAGTGACAAAATATCTATTGCCACCAAGAGATTCAACTTCAATGGGACCACAAACATCGGAGTGTACTAACTCCAACTTGGCTTGCTTTCTAGTAGACTTCCTGGAAAAGAAAGCTCTATGCTGCTTTCCTGCCAAACAATGATCACAAGGGTCAAGAGAAACAGTTTTATCAACAGGAATCAATGTTTTACCTGCTAAAAGTTTTAATCCCTTGTCACTCATATGTCCCAATCTTCGATGCCACAAATTAGGAGAATTCTTCTCTTCCACTGCATTAATCTCACCAGAACATACACTCAAATATGTCTTGTACAAAGAGCAACACAACTCACCCCGAGCGACTGTCATCGAACCCTTAGACAACTTCCACTTACCATCACCAAAGGTATGTCGGAAACCCTCTAAATCAAGAACATTAGCAGACAACAAATTAAGGCGTAGATCAGGAATATGGCGCACATTCTTCAATGTAAGCACGCACCCAACACTTGTCTTCACACGAATATCACCTAGCCCAACAATGCTTGCTGAGCTCTGATTTCCCATCTTCACACTACCAAAATCACCAGACTTGTAGTTCATGAAGTACTCTCTCTTGGGAACACAATGGTATGAAGCCCCTGTATCTACTAACCACTCTGTGTCTGAACTGTCAACATGATGACACTCACTAGTTGCACAAATCAAAGTGACCTCATCATCACTTTTGGAAGCTGTTGCTGCAGTGTTTTTATCATCTCCCTCTTTTTGTGAATCATTCTTCTTTCTCTGTTCCTTTTTCAAACGGAAACAATACTTCTTGATATGACCAGGCTTCTTGCAGTAGTGGCAGGTATTCACATTTCTTCCATCATTGGATTTGGACCTACTCCTTGAGTTATCACGACCTTTGGGACCCTTACTCTTGCCTCTTCCTCTATTCTCAACAACAAGAGCATGTGAATTATCAACTCCCATCTCCTTTCTTCTGATTTCTTCATTAAACATGCTATCTTTGATCACATCCAAAGATAACACACCATCTGGAGCAGAGTTACTAATAGTCACAACCAAGGTCTCCCAACTATCTGGCAAAGAACTCAACAAAAACAAAGCCTGCAGCTCATCATCAAGAGTAACTTTCATAGTAGTCAACTTGTTAATAATATCCTGAAAATCATTAAGATGCTCAGAAACAGACTTTCCATTTTTCAATTTCAAATTAACAAGTCTTTTAATCAATGAAGCTTTATTATGGGCGGTCTTCCTTTCATAAAGACCTTCTAACTTCTTCCACAACTCATAAGGGTCGGACTCTTGTGACACATGGTTGAATATGCTAATATCAACCCATTGCCTAATTGTCCCCAAAGTCTTCCTTTTCAACTTTTCCCAATCTTTAACTTCCATTTTATCCGGTTTAGATGGTTTAGAAACATTTCCATCTTTATCAGTGACAGAGTCAATAGGGTCAAACAAGTCCTTGCAATATAACAAGTCTTCCATCATAGGTCTCCAAATTGAATAATTAGTTGATGTCAATTTAACCATCGAGCTACTACTACTCGACTCCATAATGTGATTATATTAACCACGGCTCTGATACCAAGTTGTAGGGATCGGAAGAGGTCACTACGACTCTCACAAAATCACCAACTCAAGACAATCAACCAATAATTCAAACAAATCAACCCAAATTATTTCACAACCAAATAACCACACACACAACCAGCAATAATGCAGTAGCAAAATAACAATAGCACCAACAATAATAGGAAGAAAAGATAATAATCAACACACGAGACTTTTACGTGGAAAACCCCTTCGATGTGAAGGATAAAAAACCACGGGACCGTTAAGGAGTCCACCCTAACTTCTCTTATTGATAGTTGAGGGTAAAATAAACCCAAATCAGTCTACAAAAGGTTTATACACCCATCAACAACAACAAACAATAAGAGATGAAAATTAGAGAACAAGAGGAGTAGAAATCACCCAAAAACAGTGCTTCTGTCCAAGGACGATTCTGACCAAACTAGAGCTCAAACGACGATCTCCACCGTCCAAAATGAAGCCCTTGATGTCAGGAACAAGCTGTCAAAATTTGAGGATGATCCAACGGTTGAATTTCTGGCAACGGACAAATCTCTAAAGGCTGTCCAGAAAAATCCGAAAATGAAATACTCACTTTCTCTCTCTTTTGTGTGTTGTCATTTTTTGTGAATGAATTCCACTCCTCACTTCACTTGGCTGCTGCCCTAATCTCACAAAAATTTTACCCCAAAGCTTTCTAAGAAAGCCACCAAAAATAAGCCCAAAAAGACTTACTACAAACTAGCAAAATGTAATAAAATTTGACCAAGTAAAATGGGCCAAATACAAAATACATTTTACCACAAATTGGGCTGGACCCATAACAGGTTTTGCGTTGGAACTGTATTTTATTTCTCTGTGATAAATTGCTCAATAAAATCCTGAGATAAAAGGGATAGGAATAATTATGAAGAAAAAATTTGACCTCATGAGTTTCATTTGTACAGAGACAAATACCAGCCTGTTAGAAGAAATAAACTAGTACTCGTATTTCCCTTCGATTAGAGAAAACCCCCCATCCCTACGTAAAAGTGAAGACTTATAGGAGATGAAGGTCCATTAACATTTGCAAAAGTCATCACTCATCAGCAACCAAAATGTAATGGTTGGATATCTGATGAAAGAAATACCATTGTAAATAAGATGATAATGCCATCTTTTATACCTTTTTAAGCTAGTCAGCCAGCATTATTAAGCTGCTTAATCTCATAGGACTTGTAAGTCATTTTAATTAAGTTGCCAAACACTTTTAAGCCAGTAGATTCAGCTGTTCAATACAAAGTATTATAGAACAAGATTTAGCAACATTGAGCAAGTAAGTTTTCTTTCTTCGGTATCGGTATGATTGACCGAAGATAACAGTTTCATTTAAAAGTTGATCAGAGCCATCTAACTGGTCCTCAAGCCTACTGTGTTAAATCTTCAGCTTGTTGATTATATTCTTTAAAATGAGAAGCTTGGTCATAACTTTCATTTGACTTGCCTTCCTTTCCAAACTGTAAATGTTTGCTTAGATTTACTAATTACTACAAAAAGAAGTATATGATATTAAAGATGCAATGCCAGTTTTTAATAAGATGCTAACTGTCTGTTATAGTTGTATGCTTTACTATCTTTTACAAATGTTATGATGTCATAGGTCAGCTTTGACATTAGTGGAACATAATTGTGATTGGTCATCTGTATAGTCTTTCTCATATTCGTTCTTTTTCTCCTATTATATCTTTCCAGTTCACTGGTAAATCAGTGGGAATTCTTGGATTGGGCAGGATTGGCTCTGCTATTGCAAAGAGAGCAGGAGCATTTGGATGCCAAGTTAGTTACTGCTCCAGGTCTAAGAAACCTGATGTGCAGTACAAATACTATGAAAAGGTTATTGACTTGGCAGCTAACTGTGAAATCCTTGTCGTTTCATGCTCCCTAACTGAAGAAACCCGTCATATCATCAACCGTGATGTCATTGATGCACTGGGTCCAAAGAGTATCCTCATAAACATTGGAAGAGGTGCTCATGTTGTTGAAGCTGAGCTTGTATCTGCTCTGCTTGAAGGTAGATTAGGTGGTGCAGGGCTTGATGTGTTTGAGAATGAGCCAAACGTTCCTGAAGAACTGTTGAAGCTTGATAACGTGGTGATGTTATCTCATGTTGGAAGTGACACTGTTGAAACTTGCAAGGCCATGGCTGATCTCGTGATCAGAAATCTGGAGGCACATTTCCGAAAAGAGCCATTGTTGACTCCAGTTATTTAACATTATCTGAAGGCATGGAAGACTTTGGATCATTGAGATCAACACAATCTGTTTTATCGCCGCATTAGCTATGAAAAGGCTCTGCTCGCCTGAGATTCTGGTAATTCTCTGATTTTTCACTGAGATGCCTCATATTGCTTGAGCTTTCTCTCATCTTTGCAGTAATCTGAGGCGATGAAAGGCATCATTGATTTTCATACATACACACATGATCTGCCTTTTTTTTAACATAAAATTTTCATTTACCATATCACAGTTTTTTTGCAATCTCCTTTAGTTTAAGATTTAGCTTCTTGTCTAAACCTCTTAGATAGTCAAATGACAAATTGTTGATCTGATTCTGGATGTACAAAGTTGCAACAAAACTTCATTTTTCAGTGATTCAACTTTGTTATCCTTAAAACTAATGCAAGTAGTAATTTTATCATCCGTTTCACAGTCTGTTATGTACTAGCACTTCTGATGGAGACACCGAGAAGATCGAACCATTATAAGCTAGGCAGAACCGCAGCAAACTGTGGATGTTATGTTCTAAAACCTAAAATTAGTGAACTATTGTTAATCTAAAGTAAAAGCACCATTGATATCAAGTCTCGGTTAGTTGTGTAATTGTTAGGCAATTAGCCAGATTCGTTGGACTGAAATAAGTAAATAACGAGAGGGTTAGTCAGTTAGCCAGACTTGACGGATTGGAATAACTAGTTGACAACCCTTTGACATGATGATGTGAGTTTAAGGCCATTTCCTGCACCTCCATATCACCCGCTTTATTATCTTCTGCATCACAGAATATGCATGTATGGGTAGGTTGCTCACCTCATCCTTAAGACTAGCTAAAACATTAGGTGGCTCACCTTATCCATGAATTAGCATCTTAGAGCACATGTATTTTGTTTAGTTTAACTGTAAAAATTACTCGATAATAGGCCTTACTTTTTTGGGGTTTTGGAAGATGCACTGAACCAACTGATTAATAGAACTTAATTATGTTAATTTGGCATGATTTAATAATCATTTATGTGTATAGTGGATGAATAAGTGATTCTTGATTCAATTTTTTTAGGCACGTCAATGTCAATGTGTAGGGGTCTATCTCTTTTTGTTCGTTTTATAAAGTTGGAGAACATGTATTGGCTCTTTTATAAATTAGAATTTGGAGGAAGGTTCCAGCACTATGGACTTACGACCTCTATACACTCTCCGTCCTAAAATGATACTCGTATAATGAAGTAATATCTTGTAATGTTCGGAAAAATTTGCTATGAATGTATCTAATTAGAGATGATAATGGTGAGGGTAGATGCATGACACTTGAGGCTTGAACGCACCCCAGGATTTTATCCAATTGAATGAGTCATTTAAAGTAGTACTCCCATTTCTTAAAATTTCATCAATACAATATAATCACCATTATCTATCCAAATTAGAAAAAGAAGACTCCCACACGCTTAGATTTCTTAAATTTATAAGAAATCTCAATCTTAACGTATACTCATCAAAACAATTAATGCAGACATGCCGTAGTGAGACTATTTATTTGACTAATTATAATAATAACAATAATAATATTCCATAAAAAAATTAGGATGAATAAAGATTAAAGATTATTAGATTATAATGCAGTAATATTTACAAACTGGTGAAACTGGGCAGATGAAAATCACCCAGTTACACTTCAAAGTGGGATGACATTAACAAAGCCTAGAAAGTTAAACAAAATAACAAACATAAGAATAATAAAAGGGTAATTAATTGCACTTTCCCCCTTTATTTTTTTTCTTTGCTATTTGCTATCTAAGTCAAGAAGATGAAACAGCCCCTTTGAAGATGAGAAATTTGAGTGTCTCAAGTGTGAAGTAGATGAAACTTCCTTTTGAATGTGTAAAGAAACACCCAAAATTTGATCCCACCACACATTGCCATCCTCCTCCATATTTCTTGTCAAAATCCTGTTACATTTTGCACATATCATATTAGAAAACAATTACTTGTACATATTATATGAGTCATAGTACTAAGCTATGTTACTCGGACTTTTCATTAAACCCTCAAATACCCCACCTGTGTGAGATTTGACATAACGGACATTTAACACTTTGTTTATACCCAAACCATGAAATTGTTTCATAATATCACTAAGCTTGACACTTTGACATGTACCTATGTCCGACATGAGTAGATGAGCACTGGAGGAAATAAAAAAACACGAGTCGGGTTTATTTGTACAATACCTTTTTAATGTGAGCAGCAATGGATTTGTAGTCAAAAACATCAAAGAGATCAAGAGCATGAGAAGCAGAAGCCATAGCTTGGATCTGCATCTTCAAAGGCATATCAGTGTCCTCTATCAGAGCTTTACCTTCCAACATTTTCTCTCTTTCTTTCCAAAACAAAAACCCAGATGAGATACGATCTGATTGATTCTTATCTTTAAAACCCAGATAAGATAAACTCAATTGTACTATTTTTTTCTTTTATAAGGAAAAAAATGAGTTTCAAGTTTCAAAAGCTAAATGTGGTAAAATATAGAAAGTTAGCAGAAGCAGAGGTTGGCTTTTTATATACAGAGAGAAGTGGGAGCCTGATATGCCCATCTCTAGCCTTCCATTTGTTTGCGTATTTATGATTACATAATTGAAGTCTGGCACATATTCCAAACTTTGCTTACATTTTAGTGTTATTAATAATTTTTCCTCCCAACTTTGAGGGTACCCTTTCTGTTCTTTAGTGTTCTGTTTATTAATTAGACTTTTTAATTATTCATTGATATTGTACATAAGTATATTATTACGATTAATCATCTATATTCGGGTGTAATTTTGTACTCACTTCAATTTGTCTATTGGGTGTATTATGATTGACAATTGCCCCTTATGTGTTATGTCATTGTACCATTTTTCTAGTTGAACACAAGAGATTAAGTACTTCTTCGTTCCTTAAAAATTGACCTATTTTCTTTTTTAATAATATGGGCCAGATCTCAGATTCATATTCATTTTAGTGAGAATAGCCTTTGGAATTACTCTTCGTAAATTTATCATCTCACATATTGAATAACAAATCTACATTGTGAGTTTGTGGCTATAAGTGTAATTAATAAAGTGAAAATTTATAATGGACATTTTAAGGAACAAAAAGAATAAATTATCCAAGTAATATTGGTTGGTAGAGTGTGTAAAATCTAAAATGCCATCCTAAATTTTGTGTATTATGACTGTGTGAGAAAGAAGGAGACAACTTTTATAAGTGCAAAGTATAATAATGGGGATAGATATTGTAATATTTACTACGGAGTAGTATGATGTGTGAATGTGTTGGGAGTATAAAATTTTGACGTGCCAAATTTGGATTAGATGTAATATGATGACGTGGGTGTGTGTTGGAGTAGTAGAATATGAAATATTTTATATGCTTTAATTTAGGATTAACCAAGGAAACTGAATTTGTGTGTCACCCACCTGCTTGGGAGTTTATCCATTAATATCACTCTTACAGTCTTACAGATAAACATCAACTGCCCAACACCATTACATTCACTCTCAGCACCATTCAACATTGTTTCATCTACGATTCCGCAACTTCATTAGTAACCTCATTTATGCATGGTTGGTAATAATTCTATTTGTAATTTACTAATTTTATATATGCATTGTCAACAACATTATTTGAATCAATCGGTCACAGTGTCACATTCTACTCAACTACAGAGTAATATTGTGGCCTGTGCCGCATACCGTGGTGGAGCCACCTTGTGTCCTACTAGGAAGAAAAAAAAAAAAAAAAAGTAAGTTCAAATTTTGTTTAAATAAAATACAAAGTGCATTATTATGTTCAAGCTTACCAGCAGCCTAGTGGTTAGAATATTACCTTTTCTATCAAAGGTCATGGGGTTCTAATCTCTTGCCCAATATTCATTTTGAAAAGTACGATTGCTAAGTAATTTTGAATCTTGATATTAAAACATTATTTCATTATTGATATGCGGCACGTAAATGTGTCTTATTACTTTTTAAAAACGATTTTTAAGGCCTTGATAAAAGGGTTTTAGATGGTACGGTGCCCTATCATTGTAAAAATTCTGACTCTGCCACTAACCGCATAAAAGAATTAGTTTAGTATACTTAGAAAGTAATTGGTTCCAGGATATCAAATACTTGTAGTATAGTTACATGAGATAGTTGGTGCCTTGGCTAGTTGATCCCCTCTGAACGCCGAATACTTGGCCTTAATATATCACTTGTAGTATAGTACACTCATTTGTACATTGTACAATTTGGTAGGCAAGGGCAAGTATGTGATATCAAACTAGTCATGTTGCCCAGTTGGTGTAGATCATTGCTTGCGAGATTCTCTTGGGGATGGGAAAGCTCGTCCTTTTGATCGCAATTAAGTTGTCCATTGTCCGTCATCTTCTTCATTCAAGCGCATTTGTGTCTGTATAACATAGCTAGGGATGAAATCATTGAAGGGTCAAAGAAAGGGATTAAGCGTTGTATTGCACTCATTAAAGGGCAAGAGTTGAGCTGCTCGAGTTTCAATCACCCTTATTCGGCATGAAGAAAGCATCATAATTTGACGATCCACATTCTAGTGCTATCCAAGCCAAGAACTATCCAAATAGAACTTTAACTCATACTTTGTATTTGATTTGCATGAACTCATTGACCCAACATAAACCAAATATAATATGACTTGACCAGATTTAAATCAAACTTGATCTGCACACCCGATTTGACAGCTTTATCCAAAGCGAGTCCGTCCAAGGCTAGTCTAGAGATTATGGGCTAATGGGCCTTCTACAAATGGTCCAACATATAAGCTGTATCATTCATTAGATTACTAAAAGCAGCCATTAAATCATAATATTCTTATTAGATAAACTTTTATAAAGCGAGCAACAGATGATCCTTTAATCTTTAGGCATCTTTTTTTCAAGTTTCTTCCAATGAGATTTGAGTATATACATTATAGTGTGCTCTCCCTTTAGCCTTTACCTATGCTTTTTATATAATTCAAATGAAGAACCTTTATTTCTTAAGGATTTAAGCTTTATTTGAACAAACCGAATCTCTCTCACCTAAAAGCTACTAATAAATGAATATATATGAATATGTATGAATATGATGTCCAATTATGTTGATAAGTCATATCAACCAAAAAAATTAAAGTAAAAGGGAGTTAGACCGAATATACAACCCAAATTCTATGACCCGGTTACAAGTCCGATTTTATTGTTTGTGATTTGACTTTAAACTAGTTAAGACCAATTTAATAATTAAGCTAAGTGTGGAGTCTATCTTGGAATTGGTGTGAAATTGATACCATTTCTAGTACAAGTATATTTCATAGTTAAAATGAAGCCAGATTATATTTGATAGATAATGAAATAGCTTTTGTTTTTTTTAAATTTCAATTGTTTTCTTGTGTAAAAATCATAGAGAAAATACATGTTACTCTCAGTGAGAAACAAAAACAGTTTATCACATGGCATTTTCGTAAATAAATCAACAACTTTTTAATTAATGTGGGCTCCACAGTTGATGTTGATTGGATAAAATTGTTGATTTATTTACGAAAATGTCATGTGATAAATAAAAATAAAATAAAATTAAATTAAAAAAAAATGTTTATCACTAGGACTAATTGGGGCAAACTCAAAATCATACTATTGGATTGAACCTAAGAAAATCCAATGATGTAGAGAATATATAATGTGTGTATAGAGTTAGCAATTTAGATTAAAAATTAAATGAAACATAGGGAGCACTATTACTAATCTCAATTTGCTGTCCTATTTTATTTTACATGATTTATCAATAATGAATTAAAGAAAGACGACCACATAATTATATAATATCAATGATAATATACTACAACCCTGTTCTTTTGAGCTTTTGGGCAGAGTAGAGCAGATTTCAGCAAAGCAGAGCAGAGCAGATTATTATTATTATTATTATTATTATTATTATTATTATTATTATTATTATTATTATTGTTATTATTATTATCGCATTATTACCATTAATTATTATTATTATTATTATTATCATCATCATCATCATCATCACATTATTACCATTAATTATTATTATTATTATTATTATTATTATTATTATTATTATTATTATTATCATCATCGCATTATTACCATTAATTATTTATTATTATTATTATTGTTATTATTATTATTTGATTATTTTTAGATTTTTTTTTACTCTTTTTATAACATTATAAAATGTGTAAATAATATAATATATTAATTATTATTATTATTATTATAAAATATAAATTATTATTATCTATAAATATTAGTTATTATTATTAAATATTAATAATAAATATTATTATTTTTATTAAATATTAATTATTATTATTATTATTAATTATTATTTTAAGCAAAGCATGTAGAGTAGGGGCAAAGCAGGGCAGGGTAGAACAGAGCAGAGCAAGGCAGAGCAGAGCAGAACAACTCAAAAGAACAGGGTCTACGTACTCTATATATTAGGAAGTATATGTATCCCTATAGTTTTACAATAATACCCCTAACATTATCCTTAAAGACCTTGGAAGCATAACATTAGAAAAAACAACTAACCCTAGCAAGTGATATATGCTCATGTAAGCTTCCAACACCAACTTCATTCTCTACATCATTTTCTTTCCCTTTTTCTCCCAAGCTCAAACCCTTACATTATTATCACATGGCAACTTCACTTCCAATACTCCCTCTCTTACTCATCCTCTCCCTCGCCACCGCCTCTGACTCCTCCACCCTCAACTCCTTCGTCTACGGCGGCTGCTCCCAAATCAAGTACTCCTCCTCCGACGTCGCCTACACCTCAAACCTCAACTCCCTCCTCACCTCCCTAGTCAACTCAGCCACCTACATGGCCTACAACCACTTCGCCATTGCCGGTACCTCCATGCACGAGGTCGTCTACGGCCTCTACCAATGCCGAGGCGACCTCCCCATGCCGGACTGCGCCACGTGCGTAGCCAACTCGGTAAGCCGTCTAGGAGCCTTATGCCCCGGGTCATGCGGCGGGGCCATCCAACTCCAAGGGTGCTACGTTAAGTACGACAACGACACATTCATTGGGGCCGAGGATAAGACCGTGGTGATGAAAAAGTGTGGACAGCCTACGGGGAACCAAGATAAGATTGTGAACCGAGACGCGGTGTTGGAAGGGGTGGTGGGGAACGGAGGAGGGTTTTATCGAGCCGGCGGGTCGAAGGATGTGGCGGTGATTGCGCAGTGTGTAGGGGATCTGAGTGAAGGGCAATGTCAAGATTGCTTGAAAGAGAGTGTTGATCAAGTAAAGATGGAATGTGCTACGAGTGGTAATGGTGATATGTATTTGGGAAAATGTTACGTTAGGTATACTATTGGAGGTGGTCGTGGATATTTCAATAATAATGGTATTGGTAAGTTTTCCTATACATAAATTAAATAAATATCTAGTCACTTTTTTTGTTTTAATGATTTAATCGATACTCTCTCCGTTCTTTTTTTTTAGCTAGTGCAATACGAATTCATTACTTGTAATTCTCAACAATATGCTTGACATTTAGATATAACATGTTACTTATAAATTTAATGACAATATTAATACTTATATCTTAACCCGGTTTTGGTTTTGTTATCGTAATTGAAAAATAGAATAACTTATGGAAACAACATAATATAAATGGAGAAATACGTCAATTTTTGGTATTTTCTACTCGTACGTACATTACATAGTCAATGAACTTACAAATTACAAAGTACATACTCCCGTATATATTATAATTTTAGAGTCTAACAATCTATGTTTGTACTTGTAATAGATGTCAACTAAATTAATTGGTTAATGTATTGGTTGCTGATATCAAAGATTCATAATCGTATATATTTTGTCTACCTACAT